GGATTTCCCCCCCCCCCATTGATTGCCTTCTCTGGATATTTGAATTTCTTTTTTTTATTTCTTGTCATTAAACTCCCTTTTCCCCCCGCTTTGAAGCTTTAAAACCCATTGTCCGCAACATCCATCACCGTTAAATAATTTGCTGCCTCTGTGCAGAAAGACACCCAGGGATGTATCCCCGGGGAGGGGGCTATTTCAAAGCACTGGGGGGGCTCAATTTCCCCGGGGGGGGGGTGACAGGGGAGCCTTTCATAGCCTCTGACTTCCATCGGGGATCTTAAATTTAGCAGCTGGTCACCCTTCATCGCACGGAGCGATGGGAGGGCGTGACTCAAGGTATGTCTGAATCATCCTTTAGGATTTAGATTCCCAAGGATTAAAATGGGAAAAGGAGGATATTTTGGGTCAGGCAGTTGTTGGGATTTTTATTTTTTTTTCACCTCACCTCGGTTGCCAAACGCTCGGAGGTGACTGACATCATTCTGCCAGGGAAAAGCAAGTCAGCGCGGCCGTGACTCAGCTCAGCCTGGAGGGGAAAAAGAAGAAAAAGCTGAACCACATCCCCTGCTGCTCTTTCCCAATTCCGCGGGGATCGGGGTGGGGATGCGGGAAGGGCTCGGGTGGGATGGCAGGGAGGGATGGCACGGCACCGGCACGACGGCACCGGCACCGTGGGTGGGATGCGATGGCAACGCCGAGAGATGCTTCTTCCAGCTCCTTCTAGAGGGTTCGGTCCCGGTCCCCCGGGGCCACGCGATGCCACGAGCACCGGGGAGGGAGGGGATGGGGTGGGCTCTGTGGGCAGTGGGGGGATGCACAAGGACCCCCCCTCACTCCCTGCCCCACGGGGGGCTCAGCACAGGGAAAGGGCGAGACCTTTTTGCAGGTTTTGGTGGAAAAAGGGTTTATTTGGATGCCGGTTTCTGTCGCTGCTGGCAGAGTGGGGTGTGGGGCACAGCCCGGCTCTGCTCCCCACTGATGCCACCCCACGGGTGGGGGGAGATGGGGTTGGGTGGGGGCTTCCCATCCTTCCCACGCTCCCCTTGGTGTCAATGGGGAAACTGAGGCACGAGGCGTCCATTCCCATCACACATCCCTCAAATTAGGGCTCCGAGAAGGGCTGTGACCAAGGCCAAGGATAAGACCAGTGTCAGGGCTCAGAGCTGTGCTGCTGAGGACCTGGAGTCAAACCTCAGGATGCCATGCTCCTGCCCCATCCATTTTTGTGGGTTTTTTTGGGGGTGTATCCCATGGGATTTGGTCAATATGGCAACTCCTGTGGCTTTGGTAGAGCTTTTCTCCCTCCTCTGCTCTCCCCTCGCCCCCCCTTTCCCCTCCGCAGCCCGACGATGCTGGACACCATCAGCAGCCAGTACGACTCCTTCATCTACTGGAGGATGCCCATCCCGCGGCTGGACGTGGCGGAGCTGGAGGGGCTGGGGCTAGCTGACGTGGCCCTCTACAAGCCCAAAGGAGGGTTGGGCAAGCTCACCGGCCAGCGGGACCGGGCCAGCCAGGACATCTCCGAGGACGAGGACAGTCTGCTGCAGTTCAACAGCTTCAATTTCTGGAGGGCTCCCATCGCCAGCATCAGCGCCTTAGATTTCGATCTAATTTGAAGCCCTCCTTCCTCCCCCTCCGCGCCCCCCACCCCCCTGCCCTCCCCCTCTCTGCTAGGCAAGGATTTGGCTTTGTTGTCGTCGGTTTGGAGGTTGGTTTTTTTGTTGTTTCCGGGTGGTTTTTGACATCACTAGTTAACTCAGCAGTTCGCTTCGGCCCTGTTGGTGATAGGCTCCCCACAAAGCTTCGACCTCTCTCCGCCTTCTCCCTCTTTTCCTCCCCTTCTTGCAAACACCACGATGGTGCAAGCAGGGGGTAACAGCATGGAGGGGGGGGAAAATACAAGGGGAGGGGGCAGAAACAGGCACCCCATTGCTCCATGTCTTCACGCCAGCAAGTGCAGGAGCTGCTGGGGGGGTTTCTGTGTGACCCTGGGCGTCCCTGAGCTCTGGGACGAGCGTTTGAGCTCATTTCTCCTGCAACGAGCTTTTTTAAGAAACTCATTTGTGCAAAGGGAGCGGTGGGGGACGGGTGGGAATCGTCTTCATTTTGTGGAAAGCATCGTCCCCTCCCAGGGACGCAGAGGCCCTCTGTCCTCCCCTGGCCCAGTTTCTCCAAAAGCCACTTCTCTCCTTAACCTTCTCCTCGGGATAATTGAGGTAGAAGAAGCGGGGGTGTGCCCAGGACACGAGCACAAACCTCTTTCTTTAAAGAAATAATTTCTTTGAGCCTTGTGGCTTGAGCCCAAGCAGGAGAAACAACAGCCAGGAGGGTAAAATACACATGGAAATGCTCTGACTTTGCTTGGTGGGGTCAAAGCTAGATGTTCACTGCCTGAAATTTGATTTTTCTCCCTTTTTTTTTTTATCCCCCGCGTACCTTATCCCAGGTGTGACTCCCAACTGGGAGGCTGGGTACCTCCTGGGGTCAGATGTGTAACGGGGACTGAGCTGAAAGATAAGATGGAGAATTTAGTTTGATCTCACACCAAAACGAAAATGTTTCTGGTTCCCCACCCAATTAATCAACCCCTTCAAAAATAACAACAACAAAAAAAATGCTGCATTCACTCAAGTGGAAGCTTTGCATTTCCCTCGGGGGAGGTTTTCACCTGCGCTCTCTGTGGGCTGAGGTTTATTTCTGAGCAACATCTCAAAATGGGGAAAAAGAACCCCAACGCTGGATCGTTTTTGGCTTTTAAACAGTTTAGTTGCAGGGTTGTTTTTTTCCCAAGATTGCTTTCTGGGAGAGCAAACACTGTTTTGTCTTCTTGAATGTGCTTTTTGGGGGTTTGTTTGGGGTGAAGTTGTGACATGGAACAACCTGACACTGTCCTAAGAGTTGTGGGGGGTACATGGCCGGGGGGAGGCTGAGGCAGCACTTAAAAGGTGCCCCCAAAATAGGCAAATATTGGAAAAATCTGCACTCTGTTGTGAAAAGGGAGCCCAGCTCTCCTGTAACCTGCAGGAACGGCCCAGCCTGATGACTTCGAACCACCCGTGTGAAAACAGGGGGGAAAATGTAAACTCTCCTACGCAGAGCTGCTTGGTTTCTGTGATCCCAGCTGGGAAAACCCGCAGGCGAAGTATTTATTATGAAACTCTAAATAAAATGATTTAGGAAACATACACGTTCTGTGGGCAGTGGGGGGATGCACAAGGACCCCCCCTCACTCCCCGCCCCACGGGGGGCTCAGCACAGGGAAAGGGCGAGACCCTTTTGCAGGTTTTGGTGGAAAAAGGGTTTATTTGGATGCCGGTTTCTGTCGCTGCCGGCAGAGTGGGGTGTGGGGCACAGCCCGGCTCTGCACCCCACGGGTGGGGGGAGATGGGGTTGGGTGGGGGCTTCCCATCCTTCCCACACTCCCCTTGGTGCCAATGGGGAAACCGAGGCACGAGGTGACCATTCCCATCACACGTCCCTCCAAATCAGGGCCAGGAGAAGGGCTGTGACCAAGGCCATGGATAAGACCAGCGTCAGGGCTCAGAGCTGTGATGCCACGCTCCCGCCCCATCCATTTGTGTGGGGTTTTTTTGGGGGTGTATCCCATGGGATTTGGTCAATATGGCAACTCCTGTGGCTTTGGTAGAGCTTTTCTCCCTCCTCTGCTCTCCCCTCGCCCCCCCTTTCCCCTCCGCAGCCCGACGATGCTGGACACCATCAGCAGCCAGTACGACTCCTTCATCTACTGGAGGATGCCCATCCCGCGGCTGGACGTGGCGGAGCTGGAGGGGCTGGGGCTAGCTGACGTGGCCCTCTACAAGCCCAAAGGAGGGTTGGGCAAGCTCACCGGCCAGCGGGACCGGGCCAGCCAGGACATCTCCGAGGACGAGGACAGTCTGCTGCAGTTCAACAGCTTCAATTTCTGGAGGGCTCCCATCGCCAGCATCAGCGCCTTAGATTTCGATCTAATTTTCTGGTTCCCCACCCAATTAATCAACCCCTTCAAAAATAACAACAACAAAAAAAATGCTGCATTCACTCAAGTGGAAGCTTTGCATTTCCCTCGGGGGAGGTTTTCACCTGCGCTCTCTGTGGGCTGAGGTTTATTTCTGAGCAACATCTCAAAATGGGGAAAAAGAACCCCAACGCTGGATCGTTTTTGGCTTTTAAACAGTTTAGTTGCAGGGTTGTTTTTTTCCCAAGATTGCTTTCTGGGAGAGCAAACACTGTTTTGTCTTCTTGAATGTGCTTTTTGGGGGTTTGTTTGGGGTGAAGTTGTGACATGGAACAACCTGACACTGTCCTAAGAGTTGCGGGGGGTACATGGCCGGGGGGAGGCTGAGGCAGCACTTAAAAGGTGCCCCCAAAATAGGCAAATATTGGAAAAATCTGCACTCTGTTGTGAAAAGGGAGCCCAGCTCTCCTGTAACCTGCAGGAACGGCCCAGCCTGATGACTTCGAACCACCCGTGTGAAAACAGGGGGGAAAATGTAAACTCTCCTACGCAGAGCTGCTTGGTTTCTGTGATCCCAGCTGGGAAAACCCGCAGGCGAAGTATTTATTATGAAACTCTAAATAAAATGATTTAGGAAACATACACGTTCCTGTGAACACAACCCATGTAGACCCGCATCAAGTTCTTTCTTTAATTTGCCACTAAATTGCTTTAAATCTTTTTATGGCGAGCAGAGAATCTACCCATGTGTCTGCCAAGTGCTGCGGAGGGTGTGTGTAAAAAACTAAACCTAAGAACGTTAAGGTTATTATTTAACCTTCAGCTTTTCCAAACCCCACAGGAAAACGTCTCAGAAGAACCCCAGAGAGGAAAGAGGCCCCAGGGTTTACACATTTGTCTCAAAACAGGCAGTTTGAGTGTGTCAGGGGCACCTGAGGCTGTGACACACCACAGAAAGGGGGGCGAGGCAGCCTCGGGGGAGCCAAATCCTTGACAGCAAGGCTTTCAGAGGAGACAGAGACACACAGGCTTCTTACATACACGTATATATTTATAGACACAGGCATATCGAAAGGCTAAAAACTCTACAAAGCGCAACAACCAACGAAGGGGTCGGGAGGAGTGAGGGGAGACCCCCGTGAGGGGAGGAGTTTGAGGGGAGGGGTTTGAGGGGAGACCCCCGCCAGGGGAGGAGGGGCTGCCCCCCCGGGGGTAGTGAGGGGCTTGGGGGGACCCTCGGCCAGGGGAGAGGAAAGGGGGTCCTTTCTCCAACAAGCTGGGGGGGCTCAGGAGATCTGGGGGGGTCTTGAGGCAGGTCTGCAGAGCCCCCTGCTTCTGGGGGGTTTTAGGGTTTTTTGAGGAGCATGCTCTTCCTTTTTCCATCTGAAATGCAGTGGGGGAGTTGTCAGCAGTTGTCCCAGCTGAAAATACTGTAAAATAACTTAAAAAACAGAGAGGGAGCCTCAGACTTTAATTCTCCCTGAGAGCATCTGGCTGAGAAGAGAGCAGGAATGCACGGAGGGTCCTCTGAATAAGTGATAATAATTAATAAGTGATTAATAAGTTTGGTTTAATACAAAGCGGCGGGGGGGGGGGAAACTGCTGCTTTTTTATTGTTAATGATGCAGCTTCTCCTTTTTTTTTTTTTTTTCCCCCAAACACGCCCAGAGCAGTGAACTCCATCCTCCCCAACACCTTAAGCTGGAGGTTGGCAGATTTTGTGCCTGGAAAACATGCAAAGGATGTTTTCAACGTGGGCGACAAGCAAAAAATAAAATATTCTCTGTCCCACAAGAACCGCCGCCATTTTAAACTTGGCGCCCAAACGCCTCTGCCGGAACTAACTGCAGGGGCGCATCACCCCCATCCGCATCTAGCTCTGCTACGCGACTCCGCTGCTATCCTTCCGCTAGAGAAAATACTCCCCTTTTGGGGCTCCCCCGTTCTCGCCGCCCTCCTCCCGGCCCCTGGGCGGGGAGGGATCCAAGGAAAAGAAGGAGAAATTCCCTAAGTTCTCCCCAGGGCTTCTGCGAGGGGAGGCCCAACCCGCCCTTCCTCCGGCGGCGGACTCTTTTGTTGGGCGGAAGTATCCTTCCACCGTCGCCTCGCTTCCGCGTCGGCCATTTTGTGAGGCCGCGGCGGGAGGGGCGGGAACAGCCGGCGAGGGGAGGAGGCGGGGGGCGGTGCCGAGAACAGCCGCGTGCCTGAGGGGGGG